GGGCATGTAGCTTCCTCCTGGAGACTTTCCACGGGGTTCTCTGCAGCCATGGCTCCCTGTGGGCAGAGTAACAGAGGGTTAGTTTGAATTTCCTGAGTTCACACTATGCCCCGCCTGCAGCAGCAAGGGGGTGTTTCCCTTCCTGGAACTGACTCACTCACTGTTTGCTGAATTGGAAAGAGCCAACTTCCAACATTACTGCCCTGGAGACTTTGGTGAAAAATGTACCCACTAGGGCTCTGGTCCTGCAGTCACCCCCTGTGCTGGTGGGGAGGGTCACTGGGGCTTCAGATAGACATCAGAATCCCTCCACCTGTCCTGACGAGCTTGCAGAGCTGTGTGTCTAAGGAGTGATATTTAGGCTTGGGCAGAATTCATTTTATTCAATATATAATTTTGACAGATAAAATTAATATTTATTTTTAAGTATTTTTTTATATTTATCTATGTAAACGTTCACAGTTGCACAGTTTTTATCAATTTAAATGTTCACAGTTGTGGGAATTTATGGGGGAGGGTCAGACAATATTTTGATAACACAATAATTATTTAATGACAGTAGATACCGAGATTCAAAAAGTTAAAACTTTGTAACCATTAAAACACAAATTATCAGCATCACATTTCAAAATATACTAAGTAAACACCCTTAAATCAAACTCTAATGAGTTCTCATGCCGCATTTTTCTTACTGTGCCTATTTGTAAATTTCAGTTATTATCAATGGAAATGCTGCATGCCTTCACTGTTAGAGCCCTAACACCTATTTCTGAGAGAAGATCCCGCCTGCCTGTAATTCCAACCTGTTATCTCAGCCCCAGAGCTGGGGCTGGGAGAGAGACGCCTCTCTCTTCCCGGGGCCACGGCAGCTCAGCAGGGGTTAGGGGAGAGACGTTGCTTCCTCGACTTGGCAGCCCTGCACACCCCAAACTCCCCACTGTCCCTCACCCCCACATTGTCCCCATTCCCCCTCCCACACCACCACCTCACCTCTTACACGTGCAGCCTCTCCGGGGTCCAGGTGCCTAATTAGTGGAGCCACACCTGCATAGCTCCACTAAGTAGGTGTGCGGCACTTGATGCCCTCTTGTGTGGCTGCCCAGGCCTGCATCTTAGAGGGAAGGCAGGTTCCCAGGTTGAGTAAAATTGGGAGTACCCAAGGGAAAATTCCCAGCAGGCACCGTCCCTCTACTGATGATCAATTGCTGAGGAATCCATCAGACCCTAAGAATATCTTTGAGGATATGAGTATGACTATATTAATAACGTGTGCATGGGTATTCATAAAATTAATATATGCTTTGGTAATTATAACGTTGCTTGTGACTCTAATAAAACTTGTAATACAGATTAGACGTGGCGGATGTATGTGTGGTCACTCTCCTTGGTCTTCATGAGTTTCTAGAGACCCTAAATCTGAAACGAGTAGCAGAGGTGACTTTCCCCGTTGAGCTGGAAACTGTAGCAACCAGAGCCGAACCCAGAGTGATGTAAGATAACATCACTACATTTACTCTAAATAGAAAAGGCTACACTTCATATTTTATGATTCTGAAATTACACATCCTAGTGTCAGTGCTTTACCTTCCTCATCAGCATTTTAGTTATTAGTATAATTAACTAGTGGCAGAAAGGTGTGATTAGACCTTTCTGGGGCACAGACCTTTACCAACATCAAGCTCCCTTCCACCTAATCCTGAATTGAGGCGATGCAGCCACAATTTTTAAAGGCGACCAGGAAAAGATCAAATAATGAGTTTTCTGATCGTTGTTTCCCTGGGATCAATAGAGGTGAAAAAGGCCTTCAAGCTTTTTTATGCTTTTATTAATTAAAAATTCTGGTCTTAAGAACGCTTGGTGCAAAAGCTATGTTAGTTCAATATTCGGCACCTCCATCTGCGCTGAGAATCTGAGGCCAGGTCTATCATCGGAAATTAAGTCGGTAGAATTACGCTGCTCAGGGTGTGAAAAATCCACCCCCCTGATTGGCACAGTTAAACCAAACTAACCCCTGTGTAGACCTGACAATGGGGCAGGGCTTCTTCCAACACAGCCACCAGCTCTCGGGGAAGTGGAGACGCCTCCTGTTGGTGCAGGGAGCATCTTCACTGATGTGCTACACCAGCACAGCTGTGCCGCTGCCGTGTTTGAAGTGTAGACTGGCCCTAAGAAAGCTCCCAAGACACATGGTAGTTTCCCAACCAGCCACAGCAACAACAGGGGAGGGAAGGTATTTTGGGAAGAAAACTCAAGCACAATTCATTTTTTCAGGTGGAAGAAAACCGTGCCAGGAAGCTGTCAGGCCTCCCCTATGTGACCTAGAGAATCACAAAAGGAAGCAGATCCCAGTTATTCTCTCCTCTTCAGGTCACCTTTAAGGAAAGGCCATTTTTCAAGTACTAGACACTCATCTCCAGCTGCAGATGTTGCTGTTTTCTCTCGAATTCTTCCATTTGGAAATAAAATCCCCACTGATATCACCCCCTTTCCTCTGGTTATTAAATACTGGTGTAAAATCCTCTACAGCGAGAACCTTGTCCCCCATGGAGACTGCCCAGCCCCAGCTGCTGCCTCCCCCACCAAACCCAGCTCCCTCCAACGTGTTCTGTGTTGTAACTGAAATAAATATATTTTAAAATGCAGAAAAACATCCAAAAATATTGAATACATTTCAATTGGTATTCTACTGTTTAACAGTGCGATTAAAACTGTGATTAATTGTGCTTAATTTTTTTAATCATGATTAAATTTTTAATTTTTTGTATTAATTTAATTTTTTGTGTTAATCGCGTGATTTAACTGGAATTAATCAACAGCCCTAGTTCAGAACAGTGACCACCCCAGTAGAGAGCAGTGTGGGATCCAGCCTTTCCGACTGCTCTCACTGCTGATGCTGGAGCACCAAGTGTGGCTGCGCTCTGCCGACAGAAGGAGCACAGTGTGAACATGCACCAGCGATGTAATTATACCGATTTTTGATTGTTGGCATAATTTGCATTGACAAATCTCTGTAGTGTAGACAAGGCCTAACACACCTCCCAAGGATCTTTCTAGCAGCTGGAAGAAAGTATAAAAGAAGGAGAGTGACATCATCACTTGGCCTCTTCCCCCCTTCCCCCTCTCAACACCTGGAAGAATATCTGAAATACAAAGACTTTGAACTGGGAAAGTTTGGTCCCAGGCTGGCCTGGAATCCTGTCTGTGCTTTAAGGAACTGTAACCTGCTTGTACCATCTGTTAGGGTGAGACATTGCTTGATTCAACCTTGCTTAGTCTATTAAAGTCTGAATTTAGATGCATTTCTATTTTTATTTCTTAGGTAACCAACTTTGAGCTCTATGCCTGCTACTTATCACTTACAAGCTATCTTTCTGTAGGTAATCAATCTGTTTTATATTTTACCTAAACCAGTGTGTGTTTGGTTGAAGTGCTTGGGGGGAATCTCAGCTCAGATTACAAAGGCTGGTGCACATCCACTTTCCTATGAAGAAATGGTGAAGAAGTAAGTAATGAATTTACACAGGCCAGGCTCCTGACCATGCAAGGCAGTGTAATTCTGGGGTGTAAGGCAGGGGAGATGGGGGGGAATTGGCTGGAGCCTCCCTATTGATGGTCCATGAGTGGCTGGGAGATCATTCATGTAACACTGCTGGGTGTGTCTCTGCCTGTGAGTGGCTGTGTATGTACACTGCCTGTCAAGGCTTGTAGCTTGACACCAGCATCACAGTGTGAAAGGTGGGTTTGGAGGGCGCAGGGGTCCCACAGTCCAGGTTGTGCTGTGGGGACCCGTCACACCCACCTAGGGTGACCAGATGTCCAGATTTTATAGGGACAGTCCCGATTTTGGGGTCTTTTTCTTATATAGGCTCTTATTACCCCCCACCCCCTGTCCCAATTTTTCACATTTGCTGTCTGGTCACCCTACACCCACCTCCTCCTCTCAGGTGAGCCCTCAACCTCTCTTCCCTCCCCTGTCACCCATTTATTCCCATCTGTGTAATCCCCCATCCCTTGATGCAGAGCTAAACCCCTCTCCCCCAAACCGCCTGCTCCTCTGCCCCCAACACCCGTCTTCATCCCAGCCAGCCGGCAGACGTGTATTTTTTTTCTTTTCAAAAATAGTTTGAGCAGCCTCTGAGTTATCGACTGGACTCAAATTACATGTCCCCAAAATCATTGACTGGAAAAACCCCGACAAAGAGATTTTAGTGACGTGCTACAGCCCTTCTTCAGCCTTCTGCCCTAGGGCAGGGCAGACCTGATGCTGGCTGGGGGTAGGTGAGGATCAATGGCTACAGTATGTCTCCTGAGTCAATCAGCCAGAGTAAAACCAGGCCAGCTGGGAAGCAGCTTGGCTGCTTTGTGTGTGTTCAGTACAATCCATTCGACAGGTGAGCCCGTCTCACTGAGACAGCTGAACTCTGTGTTGAATGCCATTGTCGGTGCTGCCCCCTGAAGGCCGAGTGCGCACCCTGCCCTGGGAGTCAGGGCCGAGTGGTTACAGAGCACGGAGCTAGGAGCAAAGCGACAGTTTGATCCCCAGCACAGGGCAAAACAATGTGGGCAGAATCTGACAACTGTAAGAAAAGCTGTTTTGTGGGGAGCTGCATCTAGGGAACCCGTTAGTCAAATAAAACCAAATGTGGATCACTAACCCTACCCGCCCCCCCCCCCCCACACACTAACCCCTTCCCCCACACACAC